GAGTCCAAGAATGGGTGAGCAGAGGTAGGGCGGGGGGCACTGCAGCATGTTGATGGGATGCTGCCCCCCCAGCCAGACCCCCGCCCTCTTCCAGGATGGCCTGGGTCCCCTCAAAAGGGACAGCTCCTGCATCTGGGCATCCGTTGATGTTGCCCAGTGCTACAATGCCAAGCAGGTCACTTCTCAAAAGTGAGGCCTTCACCGCCAGGACACGTGGTCTCAGGGGGAGGGCCACAGTCAGGGTTTAGGCAGCAGTGATGGGCATTTCGAACACGCTCAGACATTTGCAGAACACTGGCTGTGACACAGCGCACCCGGGACGGTATTCTTGCCAAATCCTCACAGCTGCCCTAAGGGTGAGTTCCCATGGGAGTGCCCCATTTACAGATGAGAAAAATAAGGCGCAGAGAAGCTAAGTAACTTGTCTGAGGGTTGTCCGGTCCGAGGAGGGACATCTAAACCCTTAGGGCCTCTATAGCGTAACTGTTACCCCAAAGCGTGGCCCTGGCCTGTGGGCCGCACCTGGCGCAGGTGGGTGGTGGCCTGGGCGGCTTCCTCTGAGCGGTGAAATCCGAGAGGAGGAGCGTGGGGAGGAGAGGTGCTGGGGGTGGGGGCCCGGGAAGGGGTCGGAAAGTGAGGTCACAGCCCCCCACTTCCTCTTTCCGGCCCACTCGACGTCCTCACCTGGGCGGGCCTGGATCGCCCACCGGCCAACAGCCCTCCTGGCCTTCGCCTTCCCTCTGGCCTTTGTGCGCTCACCACCCCCCCCGCCCCCCCACCAAGGTGGGGGAGGAGGGGCCGGACTCCTGGATGCCCCTCCCCCTTGCTCAACCCTCCTGCCCACGACGACGTCACCTCGGGCCCACAGGCCAGGGGCCGCGGATGAACACGAGCGGATGCGGGGGATGCCTCCCCTGCTCCAGGCTCAGCGTCGGCCCCCGGCATGAAATCCAGGGCTTGGCGCAGTAAATATTTGGTCTCTGAGCCCCTCTGGGCTTTGTAACTGGGGAGAGCGCTACGTGTGGGGACCTAGGTCAAAGCTGCCTTTACTGCTGTAGACAGTGGCACCGTCTGGGTTGGGGCCCGGTGGTCTCAACGGGGACTTCCTCCAGGAGTCAGGGCTGTGTGAGGGACTGGCGGGGGGACGGGAAGCAGCCCGGGAGGGGAGGAGAAGCCTACGTGGCTGGAGGTTTCCCTTGACACCCTTGCCCCCCTGGGACAGGTAGGGCTGCAGAAAGGGGCAATGCACCAAAATGAAGGGGGAGTGGTGACAGGGAAGTGGGGGCCACACTCCTTTCTAATCGTCCTTATTTTATGGGAACTAAAGGGGACCTGAGCCTTCATCCCATTGGATGGAAACCAAGATGCCCGCTGTGTGACCCACATAGAGGGAATGAGGACCTTTCCAGACTGCCTGAGAAAACCGAAACGTGGCCACCGAAAACACCAGTTTCCGGTAAGTTGGTTTGTTGTACAGCATCCCCCAGCCTTCCCTGCCTCTGCTTCCTGGGAGGTGAACTTTAGATGAGGTACCACTTAAGAAGAATCCATGTAGACCTCCCTCAGCATCCTAGGAGTCCACCACAGACTCTCCAGAAGTTTCTAGAGCCCACTCTAGAGGGCTACCCAGACATAGAGCCTGGAATAAACTTGAGGCTCTAGACACAGCAGCCAGCTTGGCATGCCTGCTAGGATAGCAGAGGGCAAGGCACCAGTTCTAGACATTTCTGCATCTTTTTCTTTTTTTTTTTTCTTTTTTTTATTTTTGGGACAGAGAGAGACAGAGCATGAACAGGGGAGGGGCAGAGAGAGAGGGAGACACAGAATCGGAAACAGGCTCCAGGCCCTGAGCCATCAGCCCAGAGCCTTACGCGGGGCTCGAACTCACGGACCGCAAGATCGTGACCTGGCTGAAGTCGGACGCTTAACCGACTGCGCCACCCAGGCGCCCCTCTGCTTCTTTTTCAACACCCTTCATTTGGGTGTGGTGGAGATGTCAGAGGCCCCCCTGGCTCATCTGCCTTCTGTCTGGCTAGACCACTTTCTCTAGGGGCCCACGAACATGGATGGAGCCAGTCTAGTTGGAATGAAAGTTAATTCAAAAAAAAAAAAAAAAAAGCTAAAAAGCTTGCAACATTGAGGACAAGATCTGAAAACTCCACCCCACTGGAGATGGGGTGGAGGGGGAAGTCAGCGACGATGCATCTATAATTCCATTCACAAATTCATAGTGGAAAAAAAAAAAAAACCAACTTGGGCCACACGAGATCCAGAGTTTGGCTTTATTAGACATCCGTGAAGACAGAGTTTGCAGGTACAATCTCGTCAAGTTTGAACAGCTGCAAGGTTCTGTGGAGTGTGAATTTATCCTGTAGTGAATGAATGAGACCCCAGTGGCTGATATTTTAGAATGAAATTCCATAGTCCAAGCAGATGAGAGACGTGACCTAACGGACAACGACGTTTATACTAGTCATCCACTTAAGTCATTTCCCAGCATAAATATGCAGCTTGACCACAGCGACGTCATCTCTACAACTGTGAAATTCGATCTTCAACTAATTATGCATTTTGACTCCCGTTTATATTGAGGCATGCGATTCTTTGCCACCCTGGCAATTAACCAGTCCTAGACTCTAGAAGCTAAACTTGATCTAAATAACATCCTAGGGGTAGGGCAGGCTCTGTAATCTGGACTCAGTCTCAGTCATCACTCTGCAAAAGTGCCTGTATGTCTCCTGTCTTGCCTATCTTCTGTCTGTCACTGGTCTGTCATTCAGCATTTATTAATGCCTGCTGTGTACAGAAAGGGCAGTTATAAAGGAAATCTCTGACAGTTTTGCTTCCAAAAACATGATCAGATACCAGGGACAGGGACATCTGAGTGACGGTCATGACAACAGGCCTTTTAGAAACTCTCTGAGATTAGAAAACGTGTCTAAGCGTATTCATCCAGTGTTCTTATTCTAGAATATGTCATTCCACGGGCAGGAGGGAGAGGGGGGATGGATTTGGGGATTCCCTTTAATCGGGTCGACTGCTGGGGCCAGAAGAAAGTCCAGTAAAGTTATCACCCCCCCCCTCCATCACCTATTTGCCAAGAGTGCAAATTTCAACCAACGCACTAAAGAGAAACCATAGACAAGGAGACATGCCTGATGCAAAGGTGGGACGGCCTTACAGTGGCCAATTACTTTCACACTTAATCCAGCAGAAAGGCTGGATTTGCGCACCACTCGATTCCTTGCGTGTAACCCCGTCATCCTGACGGTGCTGCACACGGACCCCACTTTGCCCTCAGAGTGACCGCCCTGCCCCACGAGAAGCTGATAAGCCCTGCGGGGACGCAAAGAGGTTTCATTGGTTTTTCTGCACAGTCCTGTTGCTTATAGAACCAGAATGTCCAGCTCTCAAAGACCGGACAGGAGCATCGATACATTATTATGCTCCTTTAAACATAAACCGTGAGCCTTTGGGAAGGATGTAAGTGAGGCAAGGTCTGACGAAGCTGTTGATCCAGCCGTTGTCCCTTTTTCCAGAGTATTCTGACCCTTGGCACCTGTGACTATTGCTTGGCCTTGCGTACACGGTCCATAGCTTAGCATCGGTACAGATCGATAAGTAAGCGCAATTAAAAAATAAAGCCATGGAAATGAAAAGGCAGCAATGTCATCAATAAAATTCAAGGAGCATTTTCCTTTCTTTTTTTTTTTTTTGACAAGAAAAGCACATTGTAGAAATAAAGATTCTGTACAATATTCTAATATTGTATGTACATAAAATTATATTACTTATAACTAAATCAAAAAGTCTTATTTGTAGAGTATGGCTGGCAACATCAAAGAAAGACCCAGAACATTTAGCTTTTGAAGCAGAGCAGGCAGAAGAGAAGCCTAGTAAACACACCTTGATGCCTGGACACGAGATCCCGCTACTAAGTTATGTGACCAGCGTTCTCCAGTTCGGTGCTTTGTTCGAGTTTCACATTCGAGCAGGGAATTCTGCAGCAGGCCACGTGAACAAGAAGACGTGTTCAAATGACATTGGAAAAGCGGCGTCAAATCCGCATATTGGCGACGGAATGGGTGGGTGAATCCAGCTTGCATTCAAAGTTAGTTCCTTAGCTCATCTTCCGTTCATTCGTTATGCATGGCTCCGGTGATTTAAGATCAGAATGAGTCCCAGCAGACAAGCCAGTGGGTCCCTCGGGCCATTCGCAGGGTGCCTTCCTTCCAACCTTCTTCCCTCGCAGGCCCTTCTTGTGAGCGCCAAGAGCGCCACCCCCAAGCCAGGTGGAGCCCCCGCCTTGCTCACAAAGGGCAAAGTGTGAGACCCCGATTCTTCACTTGTCTGTCTGTCAGGGAGCCCCAGACTGGAAGACTGCAGGTGCTGGTGGTCAGGATTTCAGCTTGCAACAAAACCTGAAGTCAGGAGTTCCCGGACTCCCCTGGAACCACAGTCCCCGTGGTATCCACTGCAAACGCAGGCGCTGGTCCCCCTCCTCAAGACCCAGCTTCCATTTGTAAAAGGAATAGGCTCCAAGAACCCACTTTTTTTTTTCCCCCCCAACGTTTATTTATTTTTGGGACAGAGAGAGACAGAGCATGAACGGGGGAGGGGCAGAGAGAGAGGGAGACACAGAATCGGCAACAGGCTCCAGGCTCTGAGCCATCAGCCCAGAGCCCGATGCGGGGCTCGAACTCACGGACCGCAAGATCGTGACCTGGCTGAAGTCGGACGCTTAACCGACTGCGCCACCCAGGCGCCCCTCCAGGAACCCACTTTTAAGAAGCGGCCAGGCACGAGGGCGATCCACAGGTCAATCTGCTTTGAAAAAGACCTGACTGAATTCATCAAGGACAGATCTAGGAATTCCTTGTAGATACACTTAAAAAAAAACCTGAAGATTCCAGGGAAACGTTTCATAATGCAGATTCTCTACCCATGTATCACGAGTGTATTCCTCCTGAAATGTGGGACTACGTGGCTGAAACGCTCTGGGAGATGACGGCGAGGAGGGAGTTAGTTTAAAACATGTACGCTTGTCGAGGTGTGGAGCCGTTCCAGATCCTGGGCTTGCTGATGTGAACAACGCAGACTGCAGGCTCCTTTCCTGACACCTGAAGTCTACTAAGGTTAACTCGAATCACTTATGAACCCAGGAGTCAGGATCTGGTATCCGGGGAACGATGTCGCAGCATATGATTCGGCAGAAGTCAGCAGTGCCTTAATGTCCATTTCCCTCAAAGCAAGTCTTCACCTGCTGAAAAGTTAAGGTGTCTGTCCTCCCACTCACTCAAATCCTAGCCGATTAGCTGGCTATCGTTACTCCTCACTGAACCTATTCAGAATTCAAATTACGAGAACCTAAAATAGTGCCCCGCGTGGGCAGTCTTCTCCTACCAGCTAAAAATGCTCCAAGCTCCTGCTGAATCACCACATTCAATCACATGGTGATGACAAGAAATTAACTGCAGATGGGTGGTATTTTATATTGACTGCCATCCCCCAAGAAACGTACAAAGAAACGTCTCAAATAGATGAAGAATCTCCTCCTGACGCAGAGATCTCACATCCAACCTAGAAAGACAGCGACAAGGCATCCTGAGTCCTGCTTACCGGAGATGCGTTCAAAGCAAGCTGAGTCGCAGCTGCAGAAGTGGACCGATTCCCTTGACGGGTGTGGGTTTCACCACTTTGTACCCATAAAAACGAGCTGCTCTCCCAGGATCCTCGGATTTCTTATTCCCAAACCTCAGTCTCGATTTCCGACAGTTGTTCTGACTCCAGTGTGCCCTCGAAAACCCCTGATTATTTCCAGCCCTGGTGGTTCCCATCTTCCCTGCTGAAATCCAGGTGGGCGATGCTGAGGGTCGAGGACAGGGAAAGAACAGTCAGGGTTGAGGTCAGCAGATGCAGGTGAGCCGGGTCCAAGGGCGGGGCAGGCGGCGGGAGGGCCCGTTAGTAATTTAAGAAGTCAATCCCAACCTTGACACTCTTCGAGGTGGCTATATCGATGGCTGTGGCCTTGATCTCTGTGTCCCCGAACTGCATGAGGGTCTGGATCTCCCTCCGGGGGGGCACGGCTGTGCCGCTGGTCCCTGTGAGATCCAGGCGGAGGGTACCGCACTTCTTTACCCCCGGGTCGGTGATGAAGCTCACGTCGTCGTGCTCGGAGCTATAGATGTTGATGACGATGACCAGCTGGGAAGGCTTGGCCGGGGTGTAGCTACGCTTGACGAGCTCCCCCAGGGCCACCGACTGGTCGGCCGAGATGAACTTGTCGAAGACATCGGTGCACCAGCGAGTGCCGTCCTTCACCAGCAGCTTCTCGGGGGGGTGCTTGCCTTCCACGTAGCGGTTCAGCACGCCCACCCCGTAGGTGAGGGGCGACCGGCGCACCTTGATGACGGCGGGGTCCAGGCCGAAGAGGACGGCGCCCTTGAGGATGGTGAGGCCTACGTCCTGGGGGATGATGATGCGACACTTGTCCCCGAAGGCAGCCTGCACCGCCTGCTGCAGCAGGGGCGCCTCCGCAAAGCCTCCCACCAGGAAGAGGAACTTGACCGTGGACACTTCGGGCTTCTGAAACAGGTCCCCTGAAAGCAAAGAGGAAGGGACAGCACTCTATCACCAAAAGCCAGCTGCTGAGGGGTACTGGTGGCCTAAGAATGCGGCAAATAGACAAAACCATGTGGCCCCACTGGGCCCACTCAGACCTGTCTGAGCTGGCTGAACAGAATTTTTCTTGAGCTGGCCTTTATTTTATTTTTTTATTATTTTTTAAATTTTATTTTAAGAATTTTTTAATGTTTATTTTTGAGAGAGAGAGAGAGAGAGAGAGAGAGAGAGAGAGAGAGAGCGTGAGTGGGGGCGGGGCAGAGAGGGGACAGAGGATCTGAGGCAGGCTCTGAGCTGATAGCAGAGAGCCCAACGCGGGGCTCGAACCCACGAAACGTGAGATCACGACCCGAGCCGAAGTTGGATGTTTAACCAACTGGGCCACCCAGGTGTCCCTGTAGAGATGGTCTTCAGAAGGGGGTTTGCACACCTATATGCTCAGGGACAAAAACCAAAGCTATTGCTAAGTGGAAACATTTTAACAGCTAGGTGGTGATCGTTTCAAGGAATAATTTGTTAGGCATAAATAAATATTCCTGACATTCTCCAAACCTGTGGTCCTGCTAACTAAGTCAAGGCAGGCTGTTATAAAAAGTATTCTTTGGTTTTCAAAGAGGTTCTGATTGAGTCAGTGTGGGGAGGGAAGTGAATGGGGAGCCTGGATACTGAAAAAGGTCCCCGGGGAGTCTACTGTGTGTCCCTGAGGGAGGGCCCCTGAGGGCTAGATTCTGTTTGCTCCCTCCCAGGAGACCTTTCTTTGGTCCACGCAAGTGTGCCCCCTCCCCAGCAAAGATTTTGGTTCCCCACGCATCCTGATAAAGCAAAGACTGCGCATTCCCTAGGCCCTGTCACTCCAGGATAATACTGCTTGCTGCAGAGTTCCCGGCTCCCTGACTTTCGAAGCCAAACTCAAGGCCCAGGTGAAGACAGGCTCTGGGCTGCTGTGCGGTACCTGAGGGGAGGGATCTGGAGAGCCTCTGCCCAGCAACCTCCCGCATACATGCCCAGGCCCCGGCCTCTGGCTCCCAGCCCCTGACCCCCTGCCAGTCTGACCTCACAGGCTCTAGCTGGTCATGCCGGAAAAGTCAGTCCCCATTCAGCTCTGCCCCACTGAGTGGCCGAGCCCTGGCTCATACTTACGGAGATGCTCAATGATGCTGTCAATGGTTGGCTTGAAAAGGGCATTCATGGCATCCGGACTCATCCTCAGCATCCCCTGCGAGGACCACTTCACAAAATCCACGCTGTGGGGGTGTGGCACAGAGAGAAATGAGAAGTGAGAGTATGGAGGAGACCCAGGCTACTGTGCGCAGAGACGGCCCCTGACAGAACAGAACAGCTGTCACATTTAAGGGAACCGAAGGGTTTGAAAGTCCTTGGAAATACCTTCGACTGCCACAACCCAGACCCTTAGATGCTCAAAAGCTAAGACATAGCCTCTTGGTTTTCTCTTTGCTTTGTGTTGTGGCCAGCCTTCCCTTGGGGTAGTGGAAGCCGAAATCTAGTGCAAAAGACAGGGAAAGAAGGGAAGGGGTCTGTCTCGTTTGAATGACCACATTTTATAGTCCAGCGATAGTCGGATTCAAGTCCATTGAAGGCTCATATGATGTGTCCATGGTGCTGCTGCATCTGGCCACAGACCTGTGTGCTCAAGTGCATTTCCTTGAGCCCTGCAGGCACCTGTCCCCTGACAGTGAGAAGCCCCGTCCTACCAGGATGCCCCTTTCCCTGTCAAAGGTGCAGCACATCCAGAGCAGAAAGAACACCAGACAAGGAGCCGGGACTGCTGGGCTCCGGGACGGCCTCCACCACTCAGAGGCTGCGGGACTTTGGGACAAGCTGGCCTGCATTTTGTCTGAGCCCCAGTCTCGTGTCTGGAAATCAAGGATAACACAACCCGTCTTACCTTTCTCACAGCGGTTGTCAGGATCAAGTTCAATACCACAGCTGTGAAAACACTTTGGAAATTTTCTGGCACTAAAGGAATGCCAGGGACTGCATGTGCCCCACCCATCCTCAAGTTCAAAGAAGCCAAGCAAATGGCATCTCTGTCCCTGAAGCAAAGCACACACCAGCCGCTTCCTAGCCTCACATTCTAGGTGCTGCCAGGTCTCCCTGACCAGGCATCTTTCTGTGGCCTCGGCCACAGGACAATGTGGTGTGGCATGGAATGACTCCGTGGCTGGCTGTGGCCAGTCTCCCCAGGAGAGCTGACAGGCCGCAGAACTGTGGAGAAGGACTTGGGGTTAGACTCGGAACAGGTGCCTGTGGGGAGGGGGCCAGTGGACAGAGAGAACATGAGCCTAGTCAGAGTCTGGCTAGGGACCTGCTTCAAGGTCAAGAAGACCTACAATCCTATCCACTTCATTTCCCACTAAATGGAACCTGGGCTTCTTAGAGAAATGGCCGATTGCAGATCTGGGATGGGGAATATACAAGATGAGCCAGAAGTCAGATCAAAATGTCACATCAACGGGACTCAGGAGCCAACTTAAAGAGGCTCCTACTGGCCAAGATGGGACATTTTGACCATCACTAAGGATATAACTGCCATGGTTTAAAATACGTCAAACATGCCTAAATCCACGAAGCCTTAATAATACCCCCTTCTGCCCCCACAAAAGAAAAAAATGCATTTGTCACTTAGGAGAATGCTAGGAAATCAACAATATTTAACAAAAAACTCATAAACGAAAAGAAAGAACCAAAAATTTGTCCTGTCTTTCCTAGGTGAAATGTATTTCAGTGCAATCAAACCATTGAGAAGAGTTTCTCTCTCCAGAAATAGGCTAGCTGACAAATGAAGACAGAGTGAGAGACTAAGGGGCTATCCCTTAACATAACGGACCTAGGCAACTCCCCTCCGTGGCTGCTGACATCACAAAAGAAGCAACAAGCAAATAGCATGTGTTCCCTGACTTGATGTGAGAGGAGGACACACTACCACCCATGAGGCAGGTTTGCCAAAAACTCAAACTTGAACCTGACCAGATCTCTAGCTCCGTCTGCCAATTTGTCAAAAATACCAGGGGACCAAACACGTTACGTGAGCGTACGATAAACAAAAAACCCGGACTGCGGGAAACTCCATGGGACGATCAGCTTTGTCATCTAATAATAAACTGTAAAGAAAACGCAGGAGAGGGAACCCGTATAGTAAGCGGGACTTAGGGGCCTATCAGATAACGGCTATGGAGAGCCATCTTTTGGATATCAGTGCAAACTGAAAAACATATATAAGGCAGTTGGAAAAATTGTAATGTTAGCTGGGAATTTGAGGATATTGAAGAACTCGTGTCAAGCGTGATCGTGATAACAGCATTATGGTAATGATTTTAAATTTATCTTAGCGATACCTACTGACATATTCATGGATGAGATGATGATCAGATTTGCTTTAAAATACTTGGGAGAGTGTGCACGAGGATTTGGACTGGCCAGGAGGTGACAGCTGTTGAAGTTGTGTCATGAGGTTCATTTTGCACAGTGAATGTTTGAAATCTTCTGCTATAAAAAGATTTTTAGAAGCCTGTGATTTTTGTCTATCAATTTGTCATTCAGCTTTCACACAGCTTCCAAATGTCCATTTTGCAATAAGCTGAGCTACGAACGCTTGCCTGTAGCCAAGAGACTCCGAGCCCCGTGGGATTTTGCTCAACAGATATTTACTGAGCACCTCTACGTTGTACCAGGTTCTGTTGTGATGCTGGGGATACGGCAGAGGCCAAAAACACAAAATTCCCTGCTTTCACAAAGCTTATGGTTATTGGCACATAATAAAAGCTAACACAGAAACAGGAGTTTTCAGGTCCCAGGCATTGTGCTAAGTGTCTAACTTTTGAACTCACTTTATCCTCACAACAACCCTTTGAGGTAAGTGGAATGATCGCTTCCATTTTCCAGACGAAAGACTGAGGAACAGAGAAGGTGAGTCACTTGGCCAAGGTCACACAGCTTGTGTGTAGTATTGGAACTCAGAATCCACACCCCCTTCCTCCCTCCCCTCGGTAGGATCCACCCCCTAGAATGGCCTAAGCCAAAGGTGAATCCCACTCACTTGCTCTTCCTCAAGGCGTGCTCCACGCTGTGGCCACGGAACTTCTTGTAGTAGTCGATGAAGGAGAAGGGCAGGGTGATGTTCAGTGGGTTAGTTCGGTCTGGGGCAGCCGCCCTCTTACGAGACTCAAATGCAATCATTAAGTCAACCCAGGCCGCGGGACGCTTGATTTTGAATTGTTCGATAAAATCCTCTCCAAATATTTTACACAGAAGTTTTTCAAATTCATAATCTACTCCTAAGGATCCGTAGGGTCCACCTGAGTCAAGCACAAAATGAGAGCCTGCCGTGTGAAAACTGAATTCAGACTCTGAGAGACATCCTACCCTGCGTTCTTCTCTGAAACACAAAGTCGCACGAACTTGGGCCCAGTGAGCAAACAGACAGCAGCTACGGTTTTTACTTAAGCTTTAAAACCCTCCAGTTCTTCTCATTCCAGGTGCAGAGACTTTCCCCTACAGAATCACTCATCAACAAACTTCTTAAAATCAATTACATTTTAAATAAAATTGATACACATAAGTAACTAGGAGCATCGCGGTATTCCTACCCAAGAAATCCAGGGACAGGGTCTGGAAAATCAGCAGGCCCACTGAGGAGACTCTGTGATCTATTACTTATTCATCATCCCACCCCCATCAAGGGAGAGAGCCTGTTGCTTGCTTTGGCAACTTTGATCCAAGACCAGGTGTCCCGAGACCTCCCTAGAAAGCTTAACCGTGGCACTAAAACACAGGTGACAAATCAGATGACAATCATATCCTTCCAGAACTTCCAGAAAGAAACTCCCTTGGCCAGGATCTAAAACAGGCTCGTTGTATGCCAAAACCCAAGTTACGGTGGTTTGTGTCTTAAAACTTTTTTTTTTTTTAATGTGTATTTACTTTTGAGACAGAGACAGAGCATGAGTGGGGGACGGGCAGAGAGAGAGGGAGACACAGAATCGGAAGCAGGCTCCAGGCTCTGAGCGGTCAGCACAGAGCCTGACGCGGGGCTCAAACCCAGAGACCGTGAGATCATGACCTGGGCCGAAGTCGGCCGCTCAACCGACTGAGCCCCCCAGGCGCCCCTACGGTGGTTTGTGTTTTGAAGAGCATTTAACTGCATCTTGCTCTCCGGCCCCACACAAGCATCTGGGTATCCGTACCCCTCGGGGCCTAGAATCCCACGTGCAGACAGCAGTGAGAGAAGGAAATAGCAAGAGAAATCGGACAGGAGAGAAACAGCTCAGGAAGGAGAAAATCGGTCATGCAGGGGCTCACCTGTTGCTTTATACAGTTCTTTAAGGTGTCCCTCCGGTAGCCGTATCTGATGGACAGTCAGGTCGACGGTGCCACCGCCACTGTCCACAACCACGTACTTGTCACCTGGTTAAAAACATCCACCCTTTACATCGGCCGCTGGTCGGCCCCATCCTGAAACAAGCTGGGGGGTGATGACTCGGTACACCCAGCTAAACTCCCGGCAACGCTTCTCATTAATACAGCGGTGTCGCTGATGAGCCGCTCGGCAAGTTATTCCCGACGGAAGAGACCGGGGTAGTGTCTGCCCAGGAGTGCTCATCGCCGGTGAGCATGGCGATAAAGAACCCAGACGAGTGAATCTTTAAAGCTGCTGCAGACCTGGCAGGCACGAGTGGACAATGTCCTGCCATCGCATGACCTGCTGTTTAACCCAAGACTTACTCTGGAACTGGGGAGCTCCAGTTCCTGCTTTTCTTCGGAAGAGTCTGTATGGTTTTGTAACATGCAAACTTATAGGCCCCAAAAAGTTCTCCTTGGCGCAGTGGTCTTTAAAACCAACCGATTTTGAACATTTTCCAGAAATGCAAAAGGAGCGAACAGGAATGCATTTTTGCCAGCAGCACAAAACGCATCCAGCAAGGGGCAAAGGACGTTCAAGGACGCTACCTTCCTCCAGCTCGGACCAGATCTCTCCTATGACATTCTCCACCAAAAAGGTCCGACTCTGCCGATTACGCCGTATGTGCTCCTTAGCTAGTGGCCGACAGAAAGAAAAGGACGGGTGAGAAAGCATGAAAAGGCTGGCAGTCGTCTGCAGTCAGCGGAGGCAACAGCGTGAGGTTTAGGGAGGGAACGTGTAGCGATACTTGACCAAAATGATTACATAAACACAACACTGGGAACCTCAGAGCCAGACCATTTTCACCAGCGCCTGTCTATTCACTGCATGGCAGCTGGGCCTGTACCCTGCTGGAAGGCTCACCCTGGAGAAGCCCTTCCCCCCCCAGTGACACTTTTTGGGGTAAAGGGTTAATACATCAACCAAATTCCTGGCTTTGCTGTCCCAGGGAGGGACTTGTCTGCCAAGAAGCTTGCAGTGCACTTGGTTAAATAACTGCACCTCAAGGAACTCTGTCTGCTGCAAGGAATGTCGGGTATGTTTTCCTAATCTGGATGCTGGATAAACTGCATGGAAGCCATTTCCCCGACCTGGGTGAAGCCAATGTGCTCTTCCGCCACCAGGTGGCGCTTCAGCCACAGGTGGCCCATCCAAACCTAGCAAAGCCCTGGCCACCTTTTTCCTAACACTGGGGAACAACATGGCTGTGGCCCCGGGGCGCTGAGGGGCTGTGACGCCTTGGGTGGGGTCACTGCATCCCTCATAGGCCCCCCCGACAGCTCTGTGAGGCAGACAAGGCACAAATCATCATCCTTCTGTTCAGAGGAAGAAACCAGGTCAAACAAGGTTAAGGGACTTGCAGTTCCCACGACTCTGTCTTGCAGCTCAAAATCAACCCTTGGGCCATGGACCCTCATGCCTTTGGGATTTAACGATTTACACTGAAATCTGGAAAAGCAGAATATGAATATTAGGAGATGGGAAAGGTGCCGCGAGAGGGTAGCTGGGAACCAGCAGGGCACAGCCGAGGTGGGAAGTGGGGCAAATCATTTAACCCCTCTGGGCCTCACCTTCCCCATCCATAAAATGGGGATAATAACACTTGGCCTCAGTTCCTCAGCAGCAGAGCAGGGACTGGTTCTCCGATTTTTCCTCAGCACCCAATGTGACACCCAGCACACAGTAGGTGATAAGGAAGGCAAAGCACCAAGTGTGAGACCTGCTACCCAAGAAATGGCCACTACAGTGAACAACTTAGAGCAACCCCCAACTTCACAGATAAAGTCTCTGTCCACTGCTCTGCTGCCCCATCCCACAACCTCGCCCCCCACCAATTTTTCCCGTCCCTAAACTGGTGCTGCTGACTTGGAAGTGCCTTATAAATCCGTCTGTTGTTAGTTATCCAATTAAGGACCCTTGACCCTCTAGCCTCTTCTAGCAAGGAGCACTGTGTTTGCAAAACAATGTCTTCCCTGGGGATTAGAATGGCAAGTGCCTGTCAGCTCTGAATTCCTTGGGCCTTGGAGTACAGTGGTGAGGCCCTCGGATCTAAGAGTCCCTGCAGACCTGGGAGGGATCCCCAAACTCCTGTTCCCAGCACTGGCTCCCCATGAACTTCTATCGCGGACCTTGTTGGGGGCATTTGGTTTGCTAAAACAATCTAGACGGCTAACAAATGGCAGTCCTAAAAAATGACCGAGCAAGGAGCACCTGGGTGGCTCAGTCGGTTAAGCGTCCGATTTCGGCTCAGGTCATGATCTCACGGTTTGTGAGTTCAAGCCCTGCGTCACGCTCTGTGCGGACAGCTCAGAGCCTGGAGACTGTTTCAGATTCTGTGCCTCCCTCTCTCTCTGCTCCTCCCCTGCTCACATTCTGTTTCTCTCTCTCTCTCAAAAATAAACAGTAAAAAAAAAAAAAAAAAAAAAGACCAAGCAAGACTAATAAAACATATTCTGAGCTCTCAAAAAAATTATCACACTTTGGGGCAAAGTAAGCCCAACATTAAGAAAAATGTGTCTTTTACTGATCTCATGAAATCCTTTTGGTGCAAAATAATGCTAACAGCAACCCTGCGGTGCTGGGGGCACAGTGGTATCCCCATTCCCGTCAGTAGTGTCCATGGGGCGCCCATCACGAAGGAGCATCTGAGGGCAGAGAACAGCCCAGAAGGGCTCAGGGCCTTAATGCCATCCAGGGTACTCCTGATTAAGTGCTCTGCCAGGCCTCCCCAGGCAGCACCCCTTCCTTCTGGGAGACAGACCAACTGTAAAGCAAGGCTGAGACAGAACCCCTGTGTCACTGCCCCTCTGAGGGGTGGTGGCCAACAATTTGAGGATTTCAAAAACCAAAAAGACCCTCTGAGCACAAGACAAGAGCAAATCCCACAAAGCACAGGACACAGACACAGTGTGGGGTGGACAGGCCATGTTAAAGGAAAGGGAACCAAAACCTGAGCCCTCGGGGAAGGCAAGCATTCAAAACCAGTTTCCCCTTCCATGCGAATGTTACACTTCAGAAGCATTAGGAGCCGCACTACAACTAGCTAATTCTGACATGAATTTTTGTTTATGAACTGGCAGGAAGTAGCATGTAAGATATGAAGCCCAGTCAGTCATGCGTCTCTTTTCCAATTACAATGATGAAGACGAAAATTTAATTAAATAGGCTGTGCTGAGTATGTAACATGTTAACACATTTGACTTAGTTAGCAGTAAGGCCAGCCGCGGCATGCCTCGGTGGAGGCTGAGCATTGCCCAGAAAAAGCAAATCGAGCCCTCGGAGTCAAAGGAGAGCCTGCTTGCTTCTGTTCCGGGTGAATCAGGTCTTGAGGTGTTAGCACTTAGCCCCGGCAGCCTGAGACAGCAGCCTGGCCATTGTCTCGTGGCTGAGGTTCACAGACTCCTCCATCTTGGGTTGAAAATGCAGAGTGGTGGCCTCTGGGGCAGAGTGGCCCCATGAAGAGGAAGAGGAGAGTTCTGGAGGAGAGGACCCAGGGCCTGGGCAGGGATGCACACCTGCAAAGGCTGAGCCAGGGCCCCAGTGCCTTGGGCAGTACAGAGACAGGCTTTGGGTGTGGGGAGCAAGGAAAACTTGGAACCAGGCTGTAGGGGGACAATGGGCCACAGTTCTAGCTAACGTTCTCCCTCTCCTCCTCCCTTCCAGGGCCTTCCAGGATGGGGTGGGCATGGGTGATGGGTGGGTTTCTGCCCTCGAGGCCCCGACCTGGAAACGGCACTCACAGCGCTCTGATTAGTGCCTAAACTCGCTCACGTCGGTGGCTCTGACCCTGACCTAGGATGTCTGAAAAGTCTGTGGCCCTGGACAGACTCACAGAGCCCTGGATACCAGGGAAGACGGTTCTTAGGACCAAGAATGTGACCAACTGGCACACAAGTAACTACTAAAGAGAAAAAGTTCCTTAATACCCATCCTGGATCTCCCTAGGCGGTACTCCTTCCCACAGCTATGTGAGCACCAGTGGGGTCAGGAAGCCTCCGCCCCTTTCATCTGTATTTTAAACTCTCGCCAGGTTCACGGTTAAGACACATAATGAGCTCATCACACACGAAGCGGCCCCAGGGAGTGAGTCAGCAATAAATCAACAGCCTTAATGGGGGAATTAATAACAGGCCAAGTGGGATTAGATTAAGAATCAGTTAATAAACAAGAAAAATTAAAAGCCTAGTAAAATGTAAAACCAGGAGCTGCTCTGGGGCCATCTCTCCGGTTCTTGGAGAGAAGCACCCTTCCCACACCTGAGGCACACGTGTGGGAGGTGATGAACCCGGGTGACCACTGCGGAGTTTACAAGGGGCCCTGGAGGGGTCCCGGAGGGGGCGCTGAGAACAGACGTGCTCACAGCCGACCCCTCTGGGAACATCTCGGTTCTTCATTACCGCGCTAAATGCCTTAAATAATCAGGGCCCAAAACATGCAGGGTTGGGATGGGAGAGAGCGGGGAGGGGAGAGAGAGAGAGCAGGAGGTACCCTGTGCAAACCCGGCTCCCACTGTGTCACTGGAGCTGTACCCGTTGACCGCGGCCTTGCTGCTCAGCTCGATCATCTGGTGCAGCCGCAGCTTCCGGCAGTAGATGGAGGCCGCCTCGGGCTCCAAGGCAATGATGAGCTGCTCCGAGTTGTCCGGGGAGGCCAGGCCTGCCTGGAAGACAGAGGCAGAGGCTGGGACCCAGGCTCTCCAGGCAGTATCACTCTGAGGACGCTCACCTTGCACCTACACCCCCAAGGAAGGGACAGCCATGCTCTGCTTGCTTAATTCCCTCCATAGATCTCTGCAGCGCTATCGATCAGGGGTGACTGGGTGCTGGGCCCCAAGCCAGGCACCCAAACACTGCGGAGTGGACAAAGAAAACGTAGGAGTGCTTCTGGGAAAGGCAGGGCCCTCCGGGTCATGGGGCCTCTTACATTTGGGACTTGCTTGGCCCAGAACTGAGATGCATGAAGGGGGAAAGGCCCCAAAGCTCTATAAACCACCAGAAGATGGAAGGCAGGTAGTCTGTTTCTGGGTACAATGGGCCTGGTGGTCTAAGAGCAAACCCCGATATTTGGTGGCCTAGGAAACAATGGACCATGGCTGGGCCTCAGCCATGGACGCATTTGATTTGGCTGTATGGGAATCAGACATGACTTCAGCACGCTAGGACTCCAGGGCTCTGGGAGAAAGCCCTCCTGAAATCCCACGTAGTCTCACGTTTTCTAGAATATGGGTCAAAAGGCAGCTGGCAGTTATTTTACTCAAAGCCTTTACCCCTTTAATAGCTGAAATGCTTTTGCTCTGTGACATCTGGCTTGTTCCAGTCACAGACCCTTACAAGAGCCAGCCAGGAGGCTCCAGGAGCACTCTTCTGAGGCCACTCAGAGAAATGAGCCTGGCGTGGCCTGTGACACGTTCCTGCCCACCTCCTGTGGCTTTGAACTGGAGCGAGAGGCCTCGCTTGTTGGAGCTGTTCAGGCCCAAGGGGTCCTGGTTACCAGCAAGACGGACCAGAGAAGCGCTCTTCGGCCGTTACCACTGTTTGCTCTCTGTGTTGCTGTTCCCTAGGGAACCTCGGGATGCTGCCCTTGTGCCCTAGCCACTTTGGAGAAGACCCCAGGTCTACACCAGACCATAAGGTTTAGTGACTCAACCTGTAGATCAGGGATGGAAGGTCTAATGCCACATATGCATAGTGACCTCTCACCAGGAGGAGCCGGCCTAGACTCACAGAGGGAAGGGGCTTAGGAGGTTCAATTATTGTGCAAGGAGATGGGGGGCGGGGTCAGGTTAGAATATCAGAAATGCTAAAAGGGCCGTCTTGGCCTTTTGTCCAATGTATTCACTTTATTTTTTTTTAACTTTTTTTTTTAACGTTTATTTATTTTTGAGAGAGAGAAGGAGAAACAGTGTGAGCAAGGAAGGGGCAGAGAGAGAGGGAGACACAGAATCCGAAGCAGTCTCCAGGCTCCGAGCTGTCGGCACAGAGCCCTACACGAGGCTCAAACTCACGAACCACACATGAAATCATGACCTGAGCTGAAGTCGGAGGCTTAACCAACTGAGCCACCCAGGCGCCCCTAACGTCTTCACTTTATGCAGAAAGAAACCAAGGCTCAGAGAAGTGGAATGATCGACTGTCTTGGGTTTCCCGGGACATGAAACCTGCCGGGTGGTCTTAGGCTCAAATGCGGCCGAGCAGGCCTAGGCCCACTCTTGGGCCTTGCAGACCGGCTCCTTTAATTCGTTCTTGGCTCTCCTGCTCTCGGTAACTCCAGGTACCGGTGTGGGACGCAGGCCTTTGGCCTTGAACAAAACTTCCCAGGTGTCTCTACTGCTCCTCCTCCAACTGGTTTAAAGGCACAATCTCTTGACCCATTTACTCCGGAACAGCACTACGTGGCATGTTACCTCTACTCACGTGCAGTCGATTCTCCATAATAACCATACCCCAAATGAGCCAAGTAATTGTGCCCTAATGAGACACCATTGGCAGGCAGGTGACTTAAATCTCCCCCCTCCCGATAGCAAATGCCTCACGAGTGGTAGAACACCTTCTGGCAGACCGACTCTACAAAACCTACACCATCCACAGAAAAACTGCCTCCTTACTGCCCTGTGCCCTCGGCTGTGGCCAACCACTCTGGGGGCATCTGCGCCCATCAGTTTGGTCCCTTGGGTTGAAGAAGCCCAGTGTGCCCATCAGTCAACAGGCCACTGACCCGGGTGCATCACAAGGTTTCCCACTGCTCCCTACTCAAGGGACTAGAAGTCCCACCCCCCAGCCTCACTTTCCCTCAGGGTCACATTAGGCACCCTTAACACCAAGACAGCTGAAGGCTGCAGTGCCCAGTGACAGAGGACAAGGGCTACACACCTACGTGTCACCAGGAAAGTTGCAACCTCCGCACCTCAATCCCCAGGGTCCCAGAAGAAATCCAAAATAAAACCAAGAGGAGCCCCCTTCGAAAGGACCGCTCTCGAAGACTGACTTCACCACCTGGCTGGGTTTGTAAAGTCAAGGGCCTCCTAGAACAGAAGCGGACAGGTCCAGCCTCCACAAAACGGGGTGAAGAAGGGAAAACTAACTACAAAGAAACAACTAGGCCTAAAGGTTTAAGGCACTCTTTCAAAGTTCAGAAGGGAAAACGACCTGGAAGAAGGGGCGGGGGGAGGGGAGCACCAGCGCCCTGCCCAAGGGTGGCGGCAAGGAGGAAAGTCTCGCTAGGGCCATGTGTCCCACTGCGATGTCAAGCGGCCAGGCGGTCTCCATGGGGCCAAGAAGAGCTGCGGGAGCCTGGGCTTGGCAGTGGGGGGGACAAGTGGGGAAAATAAGAAAAACGAGATGCCTTCATTCCTCTCCACACCTTCCCTGAAACTGTGAGCGGCCCCTGTGATTTACAGTGAAGTATCCATACAGAAAACCGAATCAAAAAGTCCAGGGGGGAGGGGTGCCTGGGTGACTCAGTTGGTTAAGCATCCGACTTCGGCTCGGGTCATGATCTCGCGGTCCGTGGGTTCGAGCCCCGCGTCGGGCTCTGTGCTGACAGCTCGGAGCCTGGAGCCCGCTTCGGATTCTGTGTCTCCCTCTCTCTCTCTCTTTCAAATATAAGTAAACGTTGAAGGGAAAAAAAAAAAAAAAAAAAAAAGTCATCCAGGGGAACAAAGAGCCTGGAGTCTAGTCACACGACTTGAGGTGCCCGAGTGTAGCCGGTGTGTGACTTACACAATCCAGGTTCCCCCTGGGATGATGCTCCCACATCCTGAACACACGGAAGACACACAGACTGCCCCACACTTCCCAGAACCGCACAGCTGCACCCCTCAGGGGAGGCCTTTCATCTGTCCCTCCCCAGCTGGGCTGGCCTTGGCTCTACAGCAAAAGCTTTGACCCATTTCCACAGAAGGTTCCCCACGGCACCCAGGAGAGGACACAGGTGGGAAGCAGAAGTGCAGAGGACCCCAAAGCAGAGCGAGAGGAAAAGGTAATATTGGCAAGAGGCCCAGGACAAGTAACCACACTCCTGTGCTCAAGCTCAGTGCCCATCCTGCTCCCCAGAGAGAGTGAGAGGCCGTGTCCCCACCAGCAACCCCCACGGGGGCCACAGTGGCGAGCTGCAGGGTTGAGGCAACAGGAGGCGGCTGGCTCTGCCAGATGCCATCTCCCCAGGAGGGGTCCCCGAGCGGCCTGTGGACTCCAAGAAAAAGAAGAGATACAAAAGGATCTTCCAGATTCTGAAAAACCTGGATGTCTTTATCTCCCGGCAGGACGCCTGGAGGGTAGGTTGCAGTTTCTGGGGTTTATATAAACCCCTGCAGTCATTCTCAGCAGCAGCCCTCAACCTGGCACCTGTCAGGAGACCTGGGCTCAGGCCCAGGTCAACCAGAGCAGGGGAAACGCTCGCTGCCTTTGCTACTTCTGCCTCTGGAGCTGGTCCCTTGCAGCTGCTGTTCCAGCAGAACTCTCTCTCCACTGGGCCCCGGCTGGCCTAGCATCTAGCATATTCTGTCTCCAACTGCAGATCATGCAGAGATAGCGAGCCTCTCCTGCAAGATGCTACATTTTCTAAGGGCAGCAGCAAGGCCTTCTTGCCCCACCGCACACAGTAGGCGCTCAGGGGGTAGTTGCTGCTGAATGAATGAGTGTATGTCCCGCCAGCCAGGCTTCATTCTGTGATTTCCTGGCCCTTGTCTCCAGATAAGTGAATGGGAGCCTTCTGCTGATGTGACCCGGGATTCCAGAAACAGAAAGTGTCTGAGCCAAGACTGCACCCTCCCATTTAACTCCCGCACGAATCTGGGGCGGCAGGACCGCTGCTGTAGCCGTTCTTAGAGCACTGCTTCCTGGTCGTGAGCCCTACCTGGGAGGAACAGGTGTGTGAAAAAACCATGCACGAGGGGGCCCAGGACATGGGTGTTTGCACTGACTGCTCTTCCCTTCAGCCCCGCCGTGAGCCAGGACAACCCGCCAGGGACTGACCATGTGCACGGCCATGGAGGATGGCCAGACCAGGCGGGTGCCCTGCTGGGCTCACGTCAAGCTGCACGGGCTCCAGCCGCACCCCTTCCGGGTGTCATGGGCTGTCGCTGTTGGTTTTTTTCCCCGATGTGATTATTTTTCACTGCAGTTTGTTCAAGGAAAGGAAGCCAGCGCAAGCCGTAACTCCGTGTTAGGTGAGCTCATCGTACGTAAGGGACCGCCTTTTATTTGACAGGCTGCCGGAACCCACTAGCGTCATGCATGTTTCAGGCAAAATGCCTCTAGAAATCAGCTGGACTATTTCCTATGCGTGATGACTATCCCTCAAGACTCAGTGAACTCTCTCCTATTCTAGGTCTTTTCCGAAGGCCTCAGCAGAGGAATCAGCTGTTCCTCCTGTTACCATCTGTTCACAGAATGCTCTTAGAGAGTCTAAAGGTGTCCTGAGGCTGCGAATTATAAAAGATAGAGATTTAACCCACTTTTTCGACAAGCATTTGATACAAGAGGAGTTTTGGGCGTTTCACAGATAAAACGGTATCCATAGAGTGCTCTGCGGTCCCCCACCAACCCCAGCACTGAATCACAGACTTCTGAGCGGAGGCCCCAGAACCGTCCATCCACGATGCTGCGCAGAGCCTCATCACCTGCTCTGCATCCGGGCCTCTTACCCCTCCGCCCAGGCCAGTGGAGGGGTGAAGCACAGCCCCCACGGGACTGTGTCATGAACTTGGGCTCAGCATGAAGGAGGGACTCTGATTCCTGCATGCAAGCAGGGTAGATGTGACCAGTTGTCCAGCTGCCCTGACGGAGTACCATTCTGCCTCATCCCTCCAGCCCTCCACCTGCAGCCAGGCTGGTGGGCAGCACTTTGGCTGAAAGGTTGGGTGGGCATTCTCAGATCTCAGAAGCTGGGTGGCCAAGAACTGCGGTGTTTGCTCATGTTCTGTATTAGCGTTCTCCAGAGAAACAGAACCAGTAGGATCTTTGTAAGCATAGAAAGAGATTTTTCATGAAGAATTGGCTCACACAATTATGGAGACTGACAAGCCCCAAGGTCTACAGTCAGCAAGCTGGAGAACCATGGGAGCTGATGATATAGTTCCCTTGCCAGGACGCTGAAGACCCAGGAAGAGCTGATGTTTCAGTTTGAGTCCAAAGGCGGGGAAAAAAAAGCAAAAAACAAAAACAAAAAACAAAAAAAACAGGGTTCCAATCTGAAGGCAGGCAGGCAGGCAGGAGGGTTTCCTTCTTATTCTAGGGAGTTTTTGTTTTAGTCAGGTCTTCAACTGATTGGATGAGGCCCACCCATCCTACAAAGGGCAATCTACTTTATTTAGTCAGTCAATTTAAATGTTAATCTCATTCAAAAATACCCTCGCAACAACAGTCAGAATGATGTCTGACCAAACGTGGCAGTTTACATATCTGGTCAAGTTTACACATAAAATTAACTATCATAGGTACACATTTTTCTTGTTCTGTAAAATTAATGGAGGATAAGAAGAGAGAACTGGAGAGATGCCAATTTTGGCCACACTTCATTTCCATTTTGTCATGGGGACTCTTCCAGAAGACAGGCTAAAGACACCATAGACTAGTTGGCAAAGCAGTTGTGCCCCTTTAAACCCTTCGCCCCGCTTCCCAAAGTACAAAAGGCTTCACTGACCCACTCAGCTGTGAGCCACTTGAGAGCGGGGCCTTTATCCTGGTCATACAGGATATGACTCCAGTGTCGACCACGTCCCATCACGCAGAAGTCCTCCAGTATGGATTTAATGAATAAATGAATGAGTTAACAAAGAATGATTGAATGGCCTCTGCCGTCTTGAAATCCATTCAGTGACTTTAAACTGTAATTCTTTAAATTTTTCTTTTAATGTTTATTTTTTGAGAGAGAGAGTGAGAGAGCAAGAGAGACAGAGCACGGGCAGGGAAGGGGCAGAGAGAGAGGGAGACACAGAATCCGAAGCAGGCTCCAGGCTCCGAGCTGTCAGCACAGAGCCCGACGCGGGTCGAACTCATGGACTGTGAGATCATGACCTGAGCCGAAGTCGGACGCATACCTGACTGAGCCACCCAGGTGCCCCTAAACTGTCATTCTTTAATCAGAATTACACAGAGCCAAAGATTGAGCTGCACACACGCTGCACCAGACAGAAGTTAGCCAGCATCCAAAGGATAGGCCTGTCTACAGTGGGTCTCTGGGCTTCAGAAAGAAGATGCCCCCCGTCCATAAACCCGGTCACATTCACCCCTCTGAGGAGCTGCTGATCTATCATCTACCCTCTGAGGTGCCATTTTGATTCGGCCAAACCCTGGAGGGCACCGCACCCCCAAGTGCCTGGTTTCCTTCCCGCTGGGCACGCAAGGGGCTTCCCCGCCAGGCCTCACTGCCCAGAGAGGCAGGAGCCAGCCCAAGGCTCCAACAGCCCTGAGAAGTCTGCAGTCCTTGTACCTCTTTCTTTTTCAGGCTAAAAATAAGAACTGACCCTTTTCCGGGTCACATGTTTGTTGTTGAAGTTTTCCTGTGGGAAAACGAGAATCAAAGTCACGAATCCTGAGTGCCCTCCCTGTGAAAACTGAGAACATAGGGCTGTGCCTTTGTGCGACAGCTGTGTCCCCGCGTCCTGTCTCCGGACACGGCCTGACGGCTGACGCTGTGGAAAAGCTCCAGGGTGCCCAGGGTTTCTGTGGACAGCTAAACCGCATTTGGCTTCTTCCTTGTTAAAGAAGTTGCCTCTTTCTGCCACGTCCACCCTCTTCCTTCATCCCTATAAAAACAAATCTATTTTTGGAAGATACATAGGCTGGGCCAGATTCTCACGCTGAAGGGGAGGGCAGAGGGGAGAGCCTACAGCGAGGAGGGAAGAAGGAGAAGTGGGGAGACTGAGGAATGGGGACATCGCTCTCCTTATATCTCTGTCCGGCACCTGGAGTAAAGCTCCAAGTGTTGAGTACAATCTATGGCCCCAATGAAGGTGTCATGGTACCCACGACCATTCTGCTACATTCGGTGCTCAAGGTCGATCCAGTGGGCTACTTGGAAGGAAAGGTTCCTACTTATGGCCACAAACTCAACATCAGAGATCTATCCCCTGGGGAAGATGGCTGATCCCTGGGAGGTATTGGCCAGGCCGGGGAAGGGGCATCTATTCCCTTCGTGATTTTCCCCAGCCCAGCTCCAATTGAAGGTTCTGAAATGGACTCTCACTGCACAGAGTGGGCCCAGGCCCCAGGGTGGGCTTGCATTAACCCAGGGGATTAGGTACAGCTGGAGCCAGCTCTGACCTGTGGGTCAGCACAGCGGGTCAGCACGGCCAGCCACCCCTGGCATGAAGTCAGACCCTGGTGGCAGCCCCGTCATGGCACAGGTTGCCTGCAAACAGGTCCACGGCACCAGTGATGCCCCAGCGCCCAGGAGGGACAGGCTGGCCACTGACACTGGAATGCTCTGTCCACGGCGCCGTGGTGCTGACTGGCACTGTGCTCAGCCATGCCGCCCCGTCATCCACGTGCCTGCCACCACGCAGGTGTGGCGACCTCACCACCCCCTGGCCCCCTGTGTGTGCTCCTGTGTTGCTCCCAAGGTGAAATGTGCAGAACACAATCATGTTTGCCTTATTTCCCAGCCACGGACGTGCAGCTTTCAACCTCCACAGCAGCCCTGATGTGCCTGGTTCATGGCCATTTGCCTTGTCTTTATTCTTTTCTTCTTCAAACATTCTTGCTGCCCAAGCCTCTTCCTTGAGGTTCTCACTTCCATTTGCCCACAGAGAAATGTCTCGGCACCCCACTTTGAAATCCTAGCCCTGGGGAGTCTGCAGTACAGAAGGTATAAAACGAGAAAGAAAACCGAGCCCAGCCCAACCCCTGTGGATATGACCCCCGTTCCTCCCCCAGGAGAAAGGCGCTATGTCCCCTCGCCAGTGGGAGACCCCTCACTACCTCCCAGGGAGGCCTACGAGTGCTGGGGACACCTGAGTGGGGTGACAGTCACCACTGCGGGCATCCTGGGCTCCCACCGGCCCCAGCCCCACACTCACCTGATAGGCAGCTTGTCTCATGAACTGCTTGGCGGGCTGTTTCCAAATGGCGGGCACTGTGATGACCCATCTGACGTCAGAGTTCTCAAACTCTGATCCCGCTTGGTCACTCAGCTCCTAAAACCAAGGGAAATGCAGCAGGTCAAGTGGACACAGCTGGTCCTCCTACAGCTTCACCGAGAATTCCAAGCTTCCTGGCCATGAACTCTTGAGGTAACTATTGGGCCACCTCCTGAACTTTCCAGTGTCAGGACGCAAGGGTCTGTTTCCTGAATATTCCACAAGCAGGGAGCTCAGCTCCTTTCACTCACTGAACGTGACTGCAGGCAGCAGGTGGGGGAGATCAGAAGCCTTTGGCCACTTCTGAATCACGTGACAGGGAAAGAGACAGTCTCCCAGGCCTCAGTTTCTTTATCTGCACAATGGGGATAATAATCCCTAGCTTATACTAGTGTTGGAAGGGGTGATAGTTTTCTGAGAGCTCCATTTCCTGGGAACTTACTCTGTGGCAACCTTGTTAAGCACTTTGCATAACTCATCTCCATTAATCCAAGAATCCCATTAGGAAGGGATTATAACTCTGCCTTTTCTACAGATGGGAACCTTAGGCTTAGAGATGTCCAGAACCTTTTGATGACCACACAGCTAGGAAATGGCAGAACCAAAATCTGGACCCAGACCCAGGTATATCCTGACTCTTAAAGGCCAAGGTCTTGACTAAATTGTTACATGTAGTCTCGCGTCTAGAACAGAGCCTAGCCCAGTTGTCGAAGGAGTGGTCACTGTCCTCCACCTTATCACAAGGCCAGCACATCAGGGGAGTTCTCCTTGCAGGACAGGAAGGATATGAACATGACCTAAGCAAGAACCAGGCTGCCCTTAACTTCTGGTCAAGGTTAAACCACACCAGCAGAAACCACGTGGATAAATGGGATGGGCAGAAGCATCAGAGGTTTGCACCAAGTCCCTGCAGACAAAATACGTCTCTAGAATACATCTCAGACTCATATTCTCATCTGTAAAATGGGGACAATAAAACTAACGTGCAGTGTTTCTGGCAAGAACAAGTGAGAACACACGAGGAACATCTCGCCCGGAGAAGACCTCTGATAAAGCTAGTTCCTTCCTATCCCTTGGCTCCTGTTGCCACAGTCACCAGACAAATCTGAAATCAAACCTAAACACACACTACTGCCCTCCTACATCAGAGTCAGTTCTGGGGACGTGTTTCAGAAGAGTAATAGGCTGGCCATTTGTTTTTTCTGATGGGTGTCTCATTTCCTCTACTGTTTCAGTAGTTATCTGGGGACCAACCCACCCTCTCACCGAACTAACTTCCTGTTGGATGGTCAGTTCCTTTTTTTTTTTTTCCTTTTAAAAAAGTGTTTTCATTTTTAATTGTGACAAGAACACATAATATAAAATCTACCCTGTGAGCCTTTTGTAAGCATACAGGTCAGCAGTGTTAAGTAGGTTTAGTAAACTCTTTCTTAAAACATGTTTTTAGAAACATCTCTGCATTACGCTCGTGTGAAACAGCAGGGTTGTTTGTTTGTTGCATTGTGTTTTATTTCCTTGCAGGTCTGCCTTGGGCTTTAGAGGCACGTGAGTGATGATGGGTTAGGAAGGGTTCTAAGTATGCTGCCGATCACCATCCAGTCTGTTTTAGACTTTTCTGGGTTTTTTTGTTTGTTTGTTTTAAGGCTTCAGGCCCAGGAAAGAGTCCAATCCGCGAAGCCCGGTGTGGGGCTTGAACTCATGACCCTGAGATCAGGACCTGAGCCGAGCAAGAGTCAGACGCTTAACCGACTGAGTCACCCAGGCGCCCCTATTTTAAACTCTTCAAACAGGAAAAGGCTCAAAACATGAATGATGGGCTTTCCTGGCCGGAGGGAAGGTTGTTTAGACAAGCTGTTTGTTCACCAGTGGATGGAGTACAGCTTGCAAGCGAAAGGGCCCTGCCGTTAATTAAACTCCTCATTATGTCAGGACTTTCACTTGCTTTCCTCCATGAAAGATGAGCCTGCTTCATGCACGTGATTCCTCAGATATGCTGCTTTAGTAGATATTCTCCTGTGCTTATCCTGGGCCAGCAAGCAACAACCCCTCCTCTGACTCCATCTGTCCTTTAAATACCAGCCAGCCCTCTCGTGAAGGGCCCGGCCCTTATAAATCTCCTCAAAAAGCTGTTCTTCATGGAATTTCTTGACAGCATGTGCCCCGCTGGGAGAAGGTGCTAGCAGGTTCCAGCTGAGCTGACATATTGGAAACCACACACCCCCTCCTGCACCCCTGCTTGATCTCTGCCCCCTCCACCTCTTCCCTCCCCTTCTGAGACGGGGTGTTCACCCTTTTCCCTTTAACCGACTTGAAACACAATTCAATGTCAAGGACTTTCTCAAGTCCTAAATTTTCCCCGAGTCCCCTGGCTCCTCCTTGGAACCCGAGGGCCCCCGGAGTACTCGGCCTCCCTCTGCTCCTTCACTTTCTCGGGGTGTCCACATCCGCTACAGGCAGACAGTCCTTCACTTGGCAGTCTGGGCTCCCAGGCGCTGCGCCCATCCCCCTGGGATCTCAGCTCTTCAGGCTGACACAGGTCCACCTCTCTGGGCCCTCCTGGCCTGCTTGGCTGTCCCCAGGAATGATGGTGCTCTCCCCTTACTACCTCCTCCCTCTTACTCCTTCTTCTGTCCTCTCCCCTCTCCCCTTCTGGTGTAAGAATTATTTCCCAGGATCCACTTCTTCCCTCGCCGCCCCCCGTCTTTCTTCTTGGTCTTCACGCTCCCTAAATGACCTGCCACTCTGTCTCAGAGTCTCAGAGCCTTCAGACACACCTGCTTTAGGATCGGAGTCAGCTGCCTCCACATGGCTTTCCTCCGCCCTACAGGCCCTGGGATGCAGTGGTCTCCCTCCTTCTAATGCTATGTCTGTGGCCATGACATTCCCCTATTAGAAATCCTTTGATGGCTCTCCATTACCCAAGAAGTTCCTTAGCTTGGCATTCGAGGCTCTGCACAGCCTCGACCCGAGCTCACTGTTCCCATTCTATTCTACAGCTGTGCCCTTCTCCCACTCAAAACTGCTTGCTTTCCACAGCTGTTGGCTGTGTTCTTCCCCTGTGCTGTTCTTGAAACACCCACCCTTCCAGCTGCTGCCAGTGAGAGGCCCCCAGTGCTCCTCGTCCAGGGAGTCTTTCCTGATGCTGCACTTTGGGCAGAATCTCTGCCTTCACCAAACACCCAGTTAGTTACCCCCTCACAGCACTAACCCATTGACTACATGCTCCTTCGCACTGTGTTTATTTTGACACTCCTTCGGATCTGGCACACAGGAAGGAAGGAAGGAAGGAAGGAAGGAAGGAAGGAAGGAAGGAAGG